ATGTTTGTTGATGTTTGATGAGTAACAGTTCTCTTTTAACTGAAATAATTAAAATAGATCCAACTTTTCATTATATAAAAGAAGAAAGGAATCTAAAATTGTACAAGTATCATATAGAATAAAGAAAGAATTATATTAAAATAGTTACATCTTTAGGTTAGTAGCACTTTGTTAAATATAAACACAATTCAACCATATTCTCACGATTCAATTCAATAGTGGGTGCTTTCCAATTGCTTAACACACTTGACACATATGTATATAGAAATGCACAAAGTGTAAGGGCTATCGCACACAAATTGACATAACTACATATGCATAGCATAAAATCGTATGGACCAATGAGCATTGAATATTAAGCATCGAACACCAATATGGCGACTTAATACTCGATGCTCATTGGTACATACGGTCTTATGCTATGCATATGCAGTTATGTCAATTTGTGTGCGATAGCCCTAACGTTGTGTACGATTCAATTGGGACAAAGTGTGTACTAGTGTGTATGTTTGTCGGGTAAGGTTAGGATTATTTTTCAACTATGCTTATATTTTAGTTTTCTTTTAATAATAAATAATAAAATCTAAGTAATAAAAGAGATATTATCCACTTCACGTCGCAAATGCTAGTCTCTTTTCAAGCCGCTACGTTTATTAACTTTAATTTTCACTAGAAAACACTAGTTTGTACAGCCGACTAGTAGCCCTCAAGTTGAGGATGTGTAATGTTGTGTCAACGATTACGATAATTGGAATGCAACTTGTGTGGCCGTGTGCATGAAAGTGTTTAGGGATATTGCAATTGGAAAGTACCCATCATTTTTCTTTTTATCATAACATTTATTTGCAAGGAACGTCCCAATTATAACAATATACACACAAAGCACTGAAAATGATATGTGCATCTGCTGCATACAGCCACAAGAAATAATTGTAACAAACAAAACACTTGTAATTCCTCACGAATTCTCAGAATGTTCTAAGAATTAAGTCACAAAGTATCCGTTAAGGCCATCACACACAAAATTCCGTAAGAACTTAAATCGTAAACGTAAGGAAATCGACCAATCCCAATCGAGTATTGGCTCTTCGTAATAATGGAGGGGTTACGAAGAACCGAGTGCTCGATTGGGATTGGTCGATTTCTTTACGCTTACGTTTTAAGTTCTTACGGAATTTTGTGTGTGATGGCCTTTACAATGAACTTCTGAGGAATACTTCAAGACAAACTTATTATGGTTATTTGTTCACGAATTCTTCAGATATTCATTTTTCTAATTCTGTGTATTTTTTAAAATGAATTCTCGAGGAACTTCTGTTCATCGCTGTGCTATCTGGGCATACAAACAATTATTTTTCCGTACAAAATCAATAATTATCTCATCCACACTCAATGAATCCATAATGAGATATGTAATAATATCAGTAATGTAGGTTATGTTGCAGCCAATCGTAATCGTACGGAATGGAAAAGATGGGAGTTGACCATCTTTCTTTCCGACACTAATGGCTCCTGCACACACGACGCGGTAATGCTTGCCGCGCGGCAGAAGTTCGCGCGACAGCCAATCAACATGCCGCTTTCCGTAATAACCTTCTAGCTCTTACGGAAAAACAACATATTGATTGGCTGTCGCGCATATTTTCGCCGCGCAGCAAGCATTACCGCGTCCTATGTGCAGAAGCCATAAAGCACACACACTTTCGTAACAGTAACCGTAAGACGTAACATAAGAATTGACCAATCATGTTGAGAATCGTCGAAACGTAAGATCGCCATTTTGATGAATACTCGATCGTAATTGGTCAATTCTTATGTTATGTCTTATGATTACTGTTACGAAAAGTGTGTGTGGCTAACTTAAGCTGGTGGCACATAGAAAAACTTAAGCAGTAAGACGTAAGCAGTAAGCGAATCAGCCAATCACAGTCGTTGATTCTTGGACCATAAGAAGTATCAACGACTGTGATTAATCAATTTGCTTACTGCTTAAGTTTTTCTGTGTGCCACAGCCCTTAAGCGTCTTTTACAATAACAGTAGGAGTAGTAGTAAGAAATAAGCAGTAAGTAAATTGACCAATTCCATTCTTACGTTTCAAAAATAATCGATTGTGATTGGTCTATTTACTTACTGCTTATTTCTTACTACTACTCCTACTGCCATTGTAAAAGACGCTTTAAGTCCATTCTACAATTGCGTAAGCGTAGTCGTGATCGTAAGAGTCAACCAATCCGAATGTTTTATTTACTGATTGCTTTATTTTGATTGGTTGTCGTAATCACATACAACCACGTTCACGCAATTGTAGAATGAGCTTTAGGGCTGTGGTACACAGAAAAACTTAAGCAGTAAGCAAATTGACCAATCACAGTCGTTGATTCTTCTTACGGTCCAAGAATCAACGACTGTGATTGGCTGATTCGCTTACTGCTTACGTCTTTCTATGTGCCACCAGCTTAACGACCGGCTATGACATCTTTATACAATATGCGACAGCTCAGTGCGCATGCGCCCGATATCCGGTTCTGGCTTACAACGTATTATAGAACAGACTAGCCTAACAGACTAGCGCGATATGCGATGCAACACGCGATACGCGCTGCAACATGCGACGAGCGATATCCAATCAGAATACTGGTATTCCGGTAAAACTGTACGCTTATTGAATATCGCGCGTTGCATATCATGTATTGTGCTGGCTGAGAGAGCGGGTCACTCTGGCGGCACTGTCAAGCATTGCTGAAAATAAATCTTTAGAAAAATTGTATATTACAGAGTTGATTTAATAAAAAATAATTAGTTTGTTCTTAGAGAACTTTGGATTTCGTATCCTGCATTAATGACGCAAACTTTCAAACTATACTAATAAATTAATATCCGGTTATCTGGCCGAATATTAATGAAATCAGACTATTTGGTCGGATTGTAAAAAGATGGCCGGATAGTTATCGGATATCCGGCACATTCTTATTAAAAACTCTTTAATTTTGGTATAAAATTCGGATTCCTTGATGTCAAAACATAAAATTAGTGACTTTTTAAGATCAATAATACATTTCCAGCGAAAAAATAAAGCAAGTTCTTTCTGGCGTAAAGCGTGCGCCTTTTGACGCGCAGTCAAATGGTTAAAATCCGTGGCTGTCAGACTTAAAAACTGCATAAACTAATGTAAGTGCAAACATGAGTTAACTCATGGCCGGTCAACAACGTTCAGATATAAAAAGACGAGTATATTGTGACCGGTCAGCACTTGTTAACTAGCAAATTAGACGAATTAAAATTTTGAGTTTTATTTTTATCTATCCGCTATAAAATCTGATAAAGAATGTATAATTTAGAGAAAAAGTAAGATTTAAATTACTTTAAATAAAAACTTAAATCATGGTACTTAAGGTTCCAGAGTACTAATCGCGATTATGTTGGATCGTGACATTAGAGGTATAAAATGATACGCTAAAAAAATTCTTACGTTTTCAAATATAAAGATATTTAAAAAATTAAAAAAAAAAAACACTTTAGATCTCTTGAACATATTTGTAAAATAGTTCAAAAACTATTTTTCTCTCTTTAACAATTAATAAATGGTTGTAAAATTAACGTGACAAAGTTATAAGAAAATGTAAATTAAAAGAAGAGATTGCATATCGCGTTCTACAGTTCTCATTCTATTTGTTATTCTCTAGTTATTTGTTGACCATCAAGGGAAAAGGATAGTTTTCGGAATATAAGAATGTTCAAGCAATCTGAAGTGTTTCATACAAATAGCTTTTTATTAAAAAATAGTACTTAAGAATTTTGGTCATTTGGAATTTTGGTGTTTTTCTCACTTGTGATTATTAAACAAGATTTCTGATATTATTAAATAAGAGTTCAGATATTATTATAAACAAGAGATCAGGAACCTTAATGCCATAAAAATTTACAATAAAACTTCTTTAGTTTACATTCAAGTTTGTTGTGTTGAATATTAAGTATTTTTACTTTTCGATTCTGAATAGGGATAAGATGCACACATTATTTACGATTACAGATATTAGCTAATGGAATGCAAAATGGCACACGAATTATATTATTTTTGACTACGTTGCCACGTGCGTTTTCTATGATACAGCTCACTTCGTTTGTTTACACTTTGTTAAAAGCTGCGATATCGACGCTTTGCACGTAATTTTCGATTTCTTGTATTTTCTCTATTAACCAATCGACCGATACTTTGTCATCTTCTACGACACACGAAATCTGCAGCTTGTGAATTCCGAAAGCGAGTGGCACCAGTTTAGCTGTGAAAAAGGGATATGCGTTAATATATCACTTGTGCGTATATGTGAAACGTCAAGAGACAATCATGAAAACTTACATGCACCCCAAAGCAAACCGTCGGTTTCGATTTTTCGCACTTCGCTTTCCATTTCTTTCATGTCCGTCTCGTCGTCCCATGGTTTCACGTCTAGGATAATGTTCGATTTAGCTATTAAAGCTGGTTCTACAAGATAAGAATTAGTCAGTGATAATGTATTTAAAAAATTGAGCAATTGTTATCGAACGTCACACCTCTTGCGTTACGTACTTTTGGATTTCTTAGCAGTATACGCAGCGAGTCGTTCTTCCCTAATCTTAGCGGCCTCTGCATCATCTCCCTATTGAGCCAAATAAGAATTTTCATCGAAAGAATCAAGACAAATTAAAACAGACGAATTAACAATTCATGAATGCCAGATTTATGCTGTGTATATCAGATTTGTATGAGTTTGACCAAATGTTACAGCGGATAAATCAGTATATTATGGGAATATCTGGTGTATATACTAAATTATAAAAATCATGATATTTTACGTAAATATATAAATTCACGCGTTTTGTGACACTTATTGATTTATGTTAATGTGTATCAAGTGTTCGGTTCTTGTGCATCATGCGATGTTAAACCTAGGTATTCGCGCTGTACATGAGAAATCCAATCGGCACTGTTCCCACTATCTCCACTCTGCACTTGCCTCTGAATCTGAACCAAACAAATCAACATCTTCGTCATCTTCATCCTTTTCTGGCATTTGTTCTTCGACACTCTCGGGTTTCGCAGGACAAATCGCTATGTAAGGGATGCGCTGTTCGAGACTTGTCACGCGTTTCTCCAATTTATCCAGTACAGCCTCGAGATCTTGTACAACTATTTAAGAAAACATTTTTCAAATAATTATTATATAATTCTTTTTTAGGTTTGTTTATTGTTACGACAGAGGAAATTATTGCAGTTTGATAGAACTTGTAGTATTAATTTAGCTCATGTGTCTTTTTTAAGATGACTGGTTCGTAAAACCATTTTTTTTAGGGAACTTTCAGAATTTTAAGAATATATTAATGACGATCCACACATATAAAATTGGAAAGAGAATAACCGTATCAAAGCTAAGATAATTAATGTTGGCACTATTTACATGCATATACGAAATGAATACCGATATTATGTTTTTGATTCTAGCGGTCAAATTATTCTTACACTTTTAATGCAAAATAAAAAGACGGTTAAAAACTAGAAGTAATATAAAAAATTATTAGATTATGGACCATCTAGTTTATTAAAAATATGTGTGTATGTGTATGCATATGTGTGTGTGTGTGTGTGT